ACTATTTTCACTGTGCACCGCTCATCTGGTCTTAAAGTGTGATGAGAGGGGGGAGACAAAAGCAGCCGTGGCCCTGAGGTGCAGAGAGGGGCAGGCAGTGTCGTCAGAGCTAAGCAGTGAAGAATGCAGATGGTTCTGTAATGAGGGATTAAGTACTGGATTATAGTGCTTTATTAAGATGTTTCTGATCCTCATTAGGCTCAATCTTATATCAGACCATCGATCCCCACTTGCACACAAAATAGGCTGCTCTCTGAAGGGGTAGAGAGTGAAAGAGGAGAAAGAGAGAGAAAGGGAAGAGTGGTTGCACTGTCTTTTCTGATAGAAGTATGCATAAAGATTAATCTTGAAATATTTCAGCACAGGTTTCAAAAATAGTGGTTTGCAGTTTACAATACAGACAAAAGGGGTATAAGCATGTTTTTTGTGACATAACAAGTCATAAATAAATGTTTTTAAAAATATGTTTTTAAAGGTTCAATATTACTCAAAATGCACTCTTGTGAGCTAAAGACATAATATAATGCTGTTATCTCCCCAAAAACATACCTGCAGTTATATTTTGTTTTATTCACACGTTTGTGTAACCCTGCATTATTAGTCTGTCTACATCTTCAAAGGTCAGCATGCTCTGTTCCACCTTCTGACATCATGTAGTGATGGTTTGGGAGTTTAAAAACACAGTGGAGCACATCCTGTATTGCCACATCACAAGGTGGAGTGTTTTGAGTTCAGTGTTTTCAGAGAAGATCTCAGACTAAATATGCAAGGTTTGTGTGTTAAACATGTGTGAATGAAACAAAAACACAACTCCTGGTATGTTTTTTATGAGGAAACAACATTATAACATTGGTCAGAAAATAACTTAAGATGGGCCTTCTAAGGACAAACCACTCTATATGAATTTAAAATATGCATAATATTCCTGAAGCCAATTTTGTCTGAATGTAAGTGAGGGAAATGAGGACAATGGCAGACACAACTGTTTAAAGTTGATGCAGAATTAGTCTAAACTTCCTTCAAACCCCTGCTGTTGACGGACACATGCCTTCACAAGAGGACAGACATAGCCATGTGTCCTGTAGCATGGACTGGAGTTACTTTTTATTTATCTACCTACAAAATTACGCTATTTTCTGATCTATGTTATGATGTTGTTTTCTCATCATAAACATACCAGGAGTTGTGTTTCATTCACACATGCTTACCACACAAACCCTGCATATAGGCATATTTAAAGCTCTTCTCTCAAAGTGTGAGCACTTTGTTTTACCTTGTGATGTCATGTGGCAATACAGGAAGTGCTCCACTGTGTTTTTAAACTCTACCTTCACTAGAATTAGTTGTATAATTTCAGACCTAGAATTGCCAACCTCTTCAGAATTAAAGGTAAAAAGAGCTGTCAACTTGATAACTACCACCTCATGACATTGGAAGGTGGAACAGAACTTTCGGATCTTTGGAGATGTAGCCAGACTAATAATAAAGAGTTACTCAAACAGGTGTGCATGAAACAAAACACAACTCCAGGTATGCTTTTGATGAGGTAACAACATTATAACATGGCTTAAATCTCACAGGAATCCATTTTGTGTAATATAGGATCTTATTTGTTGCCTTTAGAGTAAATTGGAGTGTTATCCTTATACTGTAGTACTGTAGTAACTGTCAAATAACAGTCAATGTTTGCTCACTGACAATCTGGCAATAAACCTTTTTTTTTTTTTTCTGTGGTGGTGAGATTGTGTTCCTTCCAGACTTTTAACTACTTGTATTTATGTGTCCTTTGGAGTTAACTTATAAAATTTGTGATATAACAATCTCAAAATTCTTAGCAAACAGAAATGAAATCTCTAGTGCTGGATCAATTAAAAAGGGGGTGTGGCGTAGAATCTTGCTCACAAAAAAAAAAAAAAAAAAAAAAGAGAGAGACGTATTAATAAACAACCAGTCCAAAACTCCAACCAAGTTACTCCATGCTTTCTCTTTTCTGCTGTTTTGCTTGTAAATCTTTAGCTCTATCCTTAAAAATCTGTAAAACACTGATGTTGTTTTTTTTGTTGTTGTTTTTTTTCCCCTACAGATATTGGTGTAATAGTCTATGTTTTACTTCAGTATTTTAAATCTCTATAACGCTCAAATAACTACAGCACAAGAGTTAAATGTTGACAGCTTTATTTAGTGCAGTAGCAGTAGTCTAGTAGCAGGAGTCAGTGATGCGCCTCATGCTCATGAACCTCATCCCGCTCCAGCCCATGTTCATGAAGTTCCTGTACTCTCCGGGCCTGAAGTACATCATCCTGCCTCTGTAGTGGGGCTGCTCATACATCAGCCAGTGGCCGTCCATCACATGGCAGGACATGCAGTTGTTCATGCGGTAACGGTCCATGATGTTGTCACAGTCGTCCATGAGCTCGTACATCTGACCTCCGAAGTTCTCCCTCTCGTAGATCCTCATCCTGTAGTTGCCGCGGTACTGTGGAGCAGAAAGGGAATTGTGTGGTTGTTGCATGGAGGAGGGGGTCATTTTTGTTTATCTTATATTATTTTTTTCTTCTTTACATTTTAAGTATTAGCTATCTAGAGAATTGGTTAGAATTGTTTTTGTTATTATTACAGGGATATCTCTTTAAAGGTGCTCTGTAACATTTCAGATGGAATGTACACTGTCATTAAGATTTGATTGCTTTTTCTGTGTTCCTCAGTATGGAATTAATTAATAAAATCTTGCATTTTGTGTTGAAAATAAGATATGACCTGTAATTTGGCATCACCTGTTTGTCACCAATAAACCAATAACATCTCCACGGAGACAAAAAGTTATATGTTGCACCTTTAACATTTTAACTCTATTGTAAACTCTTCTTTAGGGAAATGCACATGCGTTTTGCATTTGGGATAGGTTTTGTGCCCTATGCCCCTCCATAGGGATCCTTTCCCTTCTATACATCTATATAGATGTTTAAATACACAGATGTATTGCATTTTCCCCATTGCTTTTTCAATGGTTAATCACCTGTTAAATGGGAACCATATGAACCAAACTGGATGAACTGACTGTATGACTGCATGACTGTAGTCTTACCATGGGGATCATACGACAGGACCTGATGCAGTCGCTCATGCCCATCATGCTCATGTAGTCAGCGTACTCGCCTCTCCTCATGAAGTACTGGTTGCCCATGTAGTTGGTGCGGTCGTACACCATGAAGCAGCCCCTCTCCACCCTGCAGGAGTGGCACCTGCTCAGGTAGGAGGACATGTCAGGGCAGTCGCTCATGCACTCATAGGAACGGCCCTGGAAGTTCCTGTCCTCGTAGAAGATGATCTGAAGAATAGGGCATAGTAATATAAAGTTATTATTAAAGTTATGATGTAAGTATGTCTAATTATTGCTTGGTTTGTAGGGATAACACCTGTGGAAAATACTTATCATAGATTTAGTTATGCAGCAGTTTGTGGGAAAGAAGCAAAGTTTCAAAATATATGAAGTTGTAACATGGAATACCTCTACCTACAGTAGGCTATGTCATCAACACTGAAAATCTGATTGAAAATCGAGAACCTTCATCTATAAAAAAAAAATTGTTGCCATTTATTTCTTTTTTGTTTCTGATCATAAGAATTGTGCAGTTAGTTTTTTTCTTGTTAACATTATGCCTGCTATAGGTATACAATTATGGAATTACCACTACTCTTGTTACATCTGGTGGCATTGTCCAACCAGGGAGTAACTGTATAAACTTTACCAAAATTAAGGAACTAGAAAAAAACTAAACAAGATTTTCAGTAAAATTGTATAATAATGTTAACTATGTTTTAGCGAAATAAGTGGTCTATCCTGTCATATGCACTTTAAATCGCACTGGTAGTATAATGTATAAAAAAAAACAGACAGGATACGCACCCTGCTCATCATGTTCATTCCAGAAGAGGTCATGTTGCTGGTTTGTGGGCTGCTGTGGCTGTTCTGCCGCTGGAGCTGCTGCTGGTCTTGCTCTTGCACCAAACTGTGTCCAACCTGGTTTAACCCTTTCCTTTTATACCTGACCCAACCTCTGGCCCTTTGTGTAAACTGCCTACGCCAGCAACATGGCTATAGAAATGCACAGAATATGGGGGGATTGTGCACATTTCCAGAGGCCAGTGGGCTCTTTTCAATGGCTGCTTCTCGTTACAAAAAGAGAGAAAGGGTTAACAATTGTTGGTCATGCTTTGCCTGTTTAGATGCCCTTGATATTGGCCCATGAGCACTCTGTTCTGTCAGCAATGCCTTTTTGTGCCTTTGTGTCAGTCTCATGTTGACTTTAGCATGATGTTCACATGTCACAGGACTAAACATGTTCTTTTTTTCTTTTTAAAAACATGTTTTAATAACGATCTTCAATTTACCAGGCCTTCATATTTAAGGTTATAGAAGCAGATGGACAAAGATTATGAATTTGATTTATGAGTGTTGGCAATTAGGAAGGTCATTGGCACCAAGCAGCTGTGAGCCAAGGCAGTTTTAAGTACAATATTTTATTGTCATATTTTATAATTGTGGGAACTGGTGGGAGTGCACTTAAGTGCACTTACAACAACAGTAACAAACAGTAAGCCTACAGCTGTAGCTGTAGCCTACTTTTTGTTTTGTTTTGTTTTGTTTTTTTGTTTTTTTTATGGGGGGCACAAAAAACATGTGAGGCTGAATGTTTTTCTGGGTCAAATTTCTTAGGTCTATTCAAGACATAAGCTAACTGTATTTTCTCCTTTGTGATCAATCTGTTAGCATTAAAAAATGCAATGTAAAATTTTGCCTACCCCATGTGAAAACATGCTCTGTCTCCCCTACTGTGAGAACCGATTTTGTGTTCAGTAAAAAAAAAAACACTTTACAATGCTTATAGTAAAAAAAAAAAAAACAACAACAACAAAAATATGTTCCTTGTTTTACTGTCCAGGACCTCTGATTATAAAACTAGTCCTTTGCCTGGCCACAGGAGGGCACTCTCCTCCCCGCCATGACCCTCCTGGAAACAGAAATAATTGTTGTCAAGCGTTGCTAAGGAAGTGGCTGAGCATTGTTTCATAAATCCGCTTCTTGTTCGCAACTTTTAATCAAAGGTAAATTGTTTTATCAAACATCTGACATGACACCAGCGTCAGGTTCTCGAAGCATATTGTAGCTACTTGTTATATTAATTTTCTGAGCTGATCTGTTCTCTTGTTGTTAGCATATTAGCGGTGCATGTGCGATTTAGCAGCCCATTCAGATATCTTTGTTTTTTTTATCAAAAAAAATGTGTTAACTAATTCGTAGCTACACTCATCAGCAGCAATCCACTGAAGATCGCTAACATGTTGCTAGGAACATAACATTATCTAAATAGTTATTACTGTTATTGCAATGCAATGAAGGCACAATACCGTTATGGATATTTCCAGGGCCGATGCTGTTACAGATTTTCCAACAAAACAAAACAAAACAAAATGCTGTTCAATTAACGTTAACCTCTGCCAATATTATGATTACATGTAATTTACCACAAAATACTATAATCTGAAGTAATTCTAAACTCAGTTTCTACAGGCCAGGGCACTTCTACGTAAGAAATGAAACTCGTAAATATAAAAAATAATCGTCATGGCTATAGACATCCACAAAATATTGACCTTGCTTCAGCCTGTAAACTGATATCCAATATGCAATTTTCATTTAATAACCTTAAATGACAACTCTGTGATTTTGATTTCTTTTTGCATACTTGTGTCTGTATTCCAGTAGGCAATGAGAAATCTCTCTGAAATCAAAAGGCATCAAACATGACAAGAGGATGAGTGAGAATGGAGATGACAAAGATCTCCAATGGTGTGGCGACTCTGGGCAAAGACAAGACGCAGAAGCTGTCAAATGCAGTGAGCCTCTTAAGACCCCCTTAGATGTCACCTCCCCCCAAAAGCACTGCACTGATGTCAAACTACCAGCAAAAAATACAGAAGGGATAAGCCCGTACCAACCTAGGCCTCCCTCTTTACCCAGACGGTTTAAGATTGGCAAGAGTAGTTCTGTAGACCAGTCTGTGAGGACCAGAAGAATCAGGAACAGCCAGGAGAGTTTGAGTGACAGAGCCGAGACATGTTCCTCCACAGATTCATTGAAAGAGGACCAAAGACTGCACGCGTCAACTGGATTTCTCTCCGAAGCTGCCTCACATGAGCAGGAGTTAGAAGAAACACGATCCCCAGTATTTAGACACAGAGGAAGCAGTCTATCTGAGTATCAAAAAAGACCCCAAAGCCAGCAGAGTGACCCCACAGAACTCCGAACTCAAGTGTCTAAAGTGCGCCTGTCCCCCGTACAGCCCACTGGGCCACTTCCCAGTCTGGAGAAAAACTTTGCGTCAGTCGCTTTACGGGCAGCTAATAGGATTGACAGGGATTGCTTGGATTACATGGGGCAGGCCAAATGCAATGAAAGACTGCACCGGAACCTGAGTGATAGCCGGCTTCTGGAGAATATGGGATCGGACAGTGCCTCAGTCAGCTCAATGAGATCCAACTACAGTGTGCTGAGCCCCATCAAGCCAAAGGACGTGAGGAACAGGTACATTACTCAAGATAAAGATGTACTATGTAACTTTTTTGTAGCATTCCAAGCCAAGCGTAGAGTATAGAGAAAAGCAGGTGGCATCTTTAACATACACAATTATTTTGCTATGAGGTCCTCTACTGACTTTTTTATTCAGGTTGTTGAAATGAGGAAAAAAAGGGAAAAGGAAGGTGTCTGAATGAAGGCTAGTTTTGTCTGAATTAGCAATGCACAGAATTTTCAATTCACTTTGGAAATATGAATCTTTATTGCTTATGTTTGTCTCTTTACAAAACATGACATTAGTAAAACAAATGGTATATTAATATGATTTATAATTTGTAGTCAGTGCTGTTACTAAACAATGAATTGGTCTAATACGAATGTATCCAAATTGCTTGTTTTTTACTATTCTCTTTTGGTTTGTCTTTGCAGAAGCTTTTTGGAGGGTAGTGTGCTTGGAAGTGGCGCCCTTCTTGGAGCAGAGGAGTTGGACCGCTACTTTCCTGAAAGACAACTGGGAATCTATATTGCCACATGGAACATGCAGGGAGAAAAGGTAATGTATCTCCAAGTGACTACTAAAATGTAGCTGCTGATAAGTACAGGATCACCAGTGTATGAGTGTTATGGCTGTTGCTTCAGGGGCTGCCAGTCAACTTGGATGATCTCCTTCTTCCAACTGATTCAGAATTTGCACAGGACCTTTATGTTATTGGAGTTCAGGAGGGCTGCCCAGATAAGTATGACACCTGAACATGATTATCTTTATAGATTTAATTACAGGAAATCATTCTTATGTTGGTATCACTTCTCTTAGGAGGGAATGGGAGACCCGCCTTCAAGAGACTCTGGGGCCCTACTACGTCATGTTGTACACAGCTTCCCATGGTGTTTTATATCTTAGTATCTTTGTTCGAAGAGATCTCATTTGGTTTTGCTCAGGTCAGAATTTTTACTCTTTATGTATTTGAAACTAGGGATGTAACAAAAAACAAAATATCGTGATATATTGTCAAAGGTCTCTCAATAATATCGTGGGCTGTCACAATATATCGAATCACAAGTTCCTTTGCTTAAATGCATTGTTTTATAGTAGTATCAGCTAATAAACACAGGGAACTACATATACCACAATTCATTTCAGTGCAGACACCATGAAGAAATATGTTTTTTACGTTAATTCTTTGGATTATGACAGTATTGATTTGCACCAAAGTCTTGCTAGCTTCTCGAAAATATTGCAATAAATATCGTAACGTGAGATGCATATAATGATAATATCGTAGATAGATAGATTTGGATATTGTTACATCCGTATTTGAAACCTGTATAACTGTATGACGTGAAGTATAGATGTTGAAAATAGTTTCCCAACTGTTCACTACAGAGGTGGAACATGCCACAGTCACAACCAGAATCATCTCTCAAATTAAGACAAAAGGAGCTGTTGGAGTCGGTTTTACCTTTTTTGGGACTTCCTTCCTGTTTATAACATCACATTTTACATGTAAGTAAGTCAGAATTGTTTACATTACCAATGGTCAGCAGAATTTGATCTTCCTTTTGTGGGCATGGATACTGAGGATACTGTGTGACCATTACAAATTTGCTTAACCGTGTTGTTTTCAGCTGGGGATTCCAAAGTCTATGAGAGAATTCTAGACTACAACAAAATCATTGAAGCTTTAGCTCTCCCAAAAGGTCTTCCAGATACCAACCCATACCGCTCCACACCGTGTAAGTAGTATTCTGTTATACAGTAATAAGAAAATGTTCAAAATGTTTTAAATTACTTCTTCTGTTTATCTTTTTGTATGTAGCTGATGTCACCACAAGATTTGATCAGGTATTTTGGTTTGGAGACTTTAACTTTCGACTCAGTAAAAATAGAGTGGAAATTGAAAACATTATAAATCGAACTACAGGCAAAGACATGGGCTCTCTGCTGGAGCATGACCAACTCTGCAAGGAAATAAAGGATGGTAGGAATCTGTTGTGTATATTTTTAATACAAAATAGTAATTAACTGTAATAACTAATTAGTGTTTATGTTTCCTGTATTTGTTTCCATTAAGGTTCAATATTCAAAGGTTTTCAAGAGGCCCCAATACACTTTCTACCAACATACAAGTTTGACATAGGCTGCGATATTTACGACACATCTTCCAAACAAAGAACACCATCATACACAGTGAGTTAAATTAACAGATTCACCTATTATGTGTTTTGCAACTGAATTACTGTAACATTTTCCGTTCACAGGACAGAATCCTCTTCAGGAGCAGACAGTCTCATGACATTCGGGTCATTAAATACACCAGTTGCACCAACATCAAGACCTCAGACCACCGGCCCGTCATCGGAGTCTTCCAGGCCAAACTGAGGCCAGGCAGGGACAAGTGAGTGCAGTCAGGGCTGGAGATGGACAATGCCATCATAGCATATTCGATTAATCTTACAGTACTAATAGGAATAATTTAAAATAGTAATACATATGCTAATTTTTGTCTTTCCTCTACCAGTTCCAGGAGACTTTTACACATGCAGAAAATGTGGTATTATTAACTTTGCCTGTTTTTTTGTCAGTATCCCTCTAGGAGCAGGACTGTTTGACCGTGGCCTTTACTTGGAGGGCATCCGGAGAAGAATAACGAGAGAGCTGAAGAGGAGGGAAGTTATGAAAAACCAAAGCAGCAGCTCCATCTGCACCATCTCTTGAATCAATTCTGTTTGAACCAGAGAAGGATCACATTTTGGCCTAGGGAGGACCTAGAATATCAGGAACGGACTTAATATAGATGGGTATACAATGGTTTCACGTTTATTTAACTCTTAACTACACAACAGCAGGAAATGGTACATGAGCAGACAGCTCCCTCTGTTGGATCTTTGTTGAACTAAAATGCATTGGGAACTTGAGGGCAGGGACCTTGAGAACAGACACTACAGCAGCTTTATTACTCTCCACTTTGCAAAGGCAAATGGGAGTTTTGTGGTTGCCATGTTCAAATAATAATTACTCACACTACGTAAACAAACTGTATTTAAAGGCCATATATTTATTTTATTTACATTTCTTTTGCATTGTTTACGGACTAATAATTAAATTGTAGCAAACAGTATGGATATCAGCACCTTTGACTTAAAATGTGTATACTCAGTGTTTAAGGCTTAGACAGCTTTGTTCATTGTAATGCCTTATTTATATATATATATGTATATGTGTATATATATATGTGTATGTATATATATATATGTATGTATATATATGTGTGTGTATATATATATATGTGTGTGTGTATATGTACATATGTATGTATATATATATATATATTTATATATATATATATATATATTATAAATATATATTTATATATTATTTTTTACTTATTTTTACTGATCAGGGAAATTAAAGGCAGCTTTTTATTTCAAAAACCTCATTTCATTCCGTCACATAGTCAAACGAATGTAAACATGTTGCCTTATTCTCTCATTTTGCATCTTAACTGTAACCTTATGTTCTGTATTCCACTGTCCATGTACTGTATTACTTTAGTTTTCTGAACGAGCAGCTGTGGCTCTAGGCGCCACTCACTCTGCAGCTTAAAAAGTGCCTCTTAAAACCAGTATAACTTTGTTTTCATATGCCACTTATGTAGGAGTAATAAACATTTTAACATATTTTACTCTTGCTTGTGTTATCAATCATTAGAGCTCATCTTAGACATATGTAACTATAGAATACACACAAATCTACAAAACAAACTGTTCAGCGCAGTAACAAACCATATTTCACCCAAGACCACGGGTTCTTAAATGTTTTATTTTTCTTTTTTCAGATTAATCTTTTATGTGATTTAAGACAAGTAAGTGCCCCTTAAATATTAAATTCCATCTTCCTTGCCTATTGTAAAAGCCTGTTTTAGCTTAAATAGACCCACAAATTGGCTCACTGGGATGATATGAAATCTTAAGAATGTTGTGTATTACTGGCTTGCTTTGACAAGTTACTCATTGTATCAGCTCTTCTGCATAGAATATCTCCCCTTATTATCAACTCAAAATGTCCCTTTAAAGAAAACTAAAAGTTTAAAATGAAGTAGGACTAGGTTCAAATAAATAAATGTGAATTTCTGCTTTTACAGAAACTATTAAGAGTAAAATGTAACTTTTAAAACAGGCACTCCTGCATGAGTCAGGTTTGCACATGGTCGTCTCCTGAAGTGTTTTGAGTCCAGTTCAGCTTTAACTCTTTATCCAGTTTATAAGATGTTGACCTCACTGGGGTCTATCGGAAGAGACGATACATGCGTGGCAGACGTCCGTCTTTACTGGACAAAGCTGTTTGGATGTGTTCGTAGGATGGCAGCTCTGTTAGGTCCCCCAGAGCAGCTACAGCAGGCTTACTGCGCAGCATCTTTGTGGTCACTCTCTTAATATCACTAGCAGTTACGTTACCTGTAACAAACATGAAATTAGAAGTATGTTATTTGAGTAATACAGAAGTCATGTTAACTGATAACACACACTTACTTATTAATTCACAAAGTTCATGTGGCAACTTCCTTTTTCCGGTGGACAAAACTTGTCGACCAACATCTTCAAAAATAACTGGACGAGACTCAAGGTTCATCATTAACATTGACTTGAGTTGTGTCTTAGCTCTCTCAAGTTCCATCTAAATATTTGGAGGTGCAAATACTGAGTAAGACATCAACATATAAAAACACACAATTAATGTATAGTTTCATTTTTTATTTACCTCTCCTGCAGTGCCAGTCATTTGAATGAACTCCTTAGTTATGATTTCCACCATTTCTCTTACCTGACAAAGAGCACATGTAAATATATATATTATATCAAATACATCAAAATAAAACCCTGTGATATTTAATTTGCTCACAGACCTGTCTTGGGTCTGCACTTGCATGGATACAAAGTAATCCACTGTCCTCATAACTATGATGGTATGATGTAGCATTGTACATCCAATGATGTCTACAAAGAACAACAAAAAACAGTTACAATAACTAGAATAACTACTCAAAAAAATTCAAATTTCTGCACATGTTCACCTGTTAAGTACATTTAGATAAAGGCGAGTAAACATTCCTTTTCCAGGTCCTCCAGCTGAAAATGAGCCACCCCCGCCCATCATCATGTTGAGCACAGCAAATGGGATGAAGTCCTCCTCCTGTAAAATGTTTATTAAAACAAATAAATAATACATTTTGGATGCAAAAATCACTATAAGAAAAGACTTACCAAGAAGGAGCAACTCTCTAGGCCAATCATAATGTGTGTGAGCTCTGGAATAGGGGTTGGGCCCAGGCTTACATCTGACATGTCCTTCTCCATCTGTAAGATTAAAAGGGATAGTGGCATTTTCTCCACAATGCTATTATAGAGTTTTTTAATGTATATATTTAGATGTGATGTATGTAATATTAAATTACCTTAACAATTCCTCCAGTGTACTGGGCCACAGACATGTCCACATTAGCTGGTGTAGTGACACCCCAGGCTGGTCTCACATTTAGCAGGTACTTTCTGGCACAGTCCACAAGCTGCTCATGCTCAATGCCTACTCCAGCAAGAACCATGCGCTCAGGAACATAATAATTACGAAGATAGTTATGAAGAACCTTCTTGTCAATTTTTTCAATATTATCAACTGGACAAAATCGTGGCAATCCCACTGTATTCCCTCGGTATGCTGCCTGGAAACAGGAAAAGATAAATGTTGTAACCGACACCTCAGTTTAACTAAATGTCCCTAAGACTCACAGTATAGTTTAATCAACCCAATACAATCCCTTAGCAGTGTTGACTTACAGCATGGATCATCTCAGTAAGTAAAGGTTCAGGATCTGGCCTCATATTGAGATCTTCTAGCTCAAAGCGTACAGCCATTCGTGTCATTTCAATCTCATCATCTGTACAACACATGAGAACCTGGTGAGTAATGTGCAGGTAACAACTCAGATCCACATATTAAAAAAAAAAAAGTTACCCAAAAGGCGTGGTTGTAAAACTGCATCAGACAGAAGACTGACCACAGTGTCGAGACCCTTCACTTCAGCTGACACTGCATACATAGTGGTATCTCTGTACAAAAAATGTCCACATCATTAAAGCATTCTGGATCACATTTTATGACATTTACCCTCAATAGTAAAAAATAAAAATAAAAACAAACCTTGATGTCTGGCAATCACATATTCCTCCATGTTTCTCAAGTGTGAGGAGAATTTCATCTTTGCTTCCATACTGTGCTGTAGACTGAATGTAAAATATTAAGCCTTAATTTCTGACAGTTACCAAATATACTTACATAATTTAAAATGGACTTACAGAAAAGGCTAGTTTTTCTAAAAAATGAGCAATTCCACTAGGATACTTTGCTTCATGCCGTGATCCAGAGTTTACTAAAACTAAAGAAAAAAACACTTGCCACATTTGAATAAAAGTAAATGTTAGAAATTGAGTAAAAGTAAGGTTACTTACTTCCAACTGTGCAAAATTGACCAAACTTGTTTTGGGAAGCCACTTTAAGGCCATTTTCTAAAGTAGTAATCTTAGTTTCATATTTTTCCTGTCCATCTACAGATGCGAAAACAGGTTTAGGGATCCCAGGCAAAGGTGAAGAAAGGGATATATTTGGGTATCCACCACCACTGCTGTACTTTCTGTAGGCTGCAATCCCAAACCTTTCACAAGAGACAAGATTGTTGGTTGAAATTCGTAGCATTCGTAGTTATTATTTGTTTAGTAAGCCTTACTTAACATGTTCTTGCTGTAGGTTGCCTAATACATTTAGAGTACTTAGTGCGACTGCATAACTCTAAAGAGACGTCTACGGGCGTAAAAAGCTCATATCAAAATTAATGCTTTAAATATTAACTTTACAAAACAGAAGAGAGCATCAAGGTTACATTATGTTAACTACTAGCACATACCTTTGTAAAAGGTAAACAAGTAGCGAAATAAGCTTCCATTACTGTAATGTTAAGGATAAACGCTGCATACTGACATACGGATGAAATTAAAAGGTCAAGAGGAAGTTTCTGAGCATTATTTTGGCTAAAAAAGCTTGCTTCTTTTCCATGCTATGGACGCACTACAGGGCGAATTCAACACAACAAACCAACGCTATAGTGCAAATCTTCTCTCCACATTTTCACCATAGGTGCACATGTACTTCAGTGTTAAAAATCTTTACCTTTGAACACGACTCCAGGTTCTACACCTCGACATGTGAGTTGCCATTTTTCATCATCCTCCGTGAAAGAACCCGGAAGTGATCGAGACAGCCCGCCAAGAACTTCCGCCGTGAGCGTGATGACGCCAAAACAAAAGTACAGCATAATCTTTGTGAAGTAAAACTTTACTACCTGGTAAAACACTCAACACTGTGTTGTTACATTTGCTGAAATGTAAATGTTTCAGTTGCATAAAAATGCTATCTAAAAACAAAACTATTGATGTCGGTGTCTGGAAGTGAAACCAAATGTAAAAATCCAGTCTCAAATCCAGATCACATTTTAACATTGTTTTGTTTTGTGATCCCAAACGTATGGAACTGTAATATTTTACATGTACTTAATTTACATTACCTATTAGTATGCACAGTATGGTAAAAATCCAACTGCTCCAATTAGACTATCACAAGAGACTTGCGCTCCAGTGCCATCACAGGGCAGAGGGCACTCTTTAAAATAGAGGAATTGACCATTTTAAAGTAGGCTAGTTTGAAAAACATCATTTATTGATTTGGTCACACAAAGAGGTCCTAAATGGCAGTAGCATTTCCACCTGATTAAACATGTTGGAAAGGCATCACAGGATAATTGCAACCCAATAACCACATCTACCCAGCCAGTCAACACCGAACCACAGATCTCTCAGTTTTTGCTGTATTTTTCATGCACGGCACAATGTATTTTGTTGTGAAGATGTCTTTGGTGCTTTGGATGTTATGTTTGGTTTCATCCATGGGTTCAGCCTATGAGCTCCAGGATACCATCCATAGTTTGAAAGATGAAAATCTGCACCTGCAGCACCGGTTGGAAAACCTCACTCATGCTCTGCGGGAATTGAAACACCTTCTCTCCGAGTACTCCAAAGGTAACTACTGCATTCAGTAGTTCAGTAGTAGTAGCTAATGTTAATGTTGACTAATGTGATCATTTAATTGTAAATTAAAGAAAATGAATAGATATGATTAATATAGCCTTTCCCTGTGAAGTAATGTATGTACTGTGTAGTCATGTATTTATTTACTTCCACTGGAATTAATTAACTATTGCTGTGACACATTCATCATTTTATTTTATAGTTTC